TTGTCTAGTCGATCTGAACTATTCATAATTTCTTTCTCAAATTCAAGAATTTTTCGATCTTTAATTATTTGGTGAAAATGCCAGCCAACTATGCTTCACTTAAGCAATGCCTTACTTCAAGTTCACCTCGATTTACCTTCTCCCTTAAGAAGTGAAATCTAGCTTCGATGTGCTTACTCCTTCCATGAAAAACAGGATTCTTCGCAAAATTAATGGCTTACATGTTGTTGATCTGCTGCACCAGGGGTTTCTTCACTTCGACTTTTATTTCTTCAAACACAAATTTGATCTAAATTGCTTGACATGCAACATATGATCCTGTTATATATTCAGCCTCACACGATGACAATGCCACCACAGGTTGCTTTTTCGAGCACCGTGAGATTAGAACACCAAATACCTGAAAGAAATAACCAAATTGTGTTTCTTCGATCTTCTTTATCTCCACACCAATCAACATATGAAAATAAGTAATTGTAGCTTCTTTGGTTTTAGAGTCTCTTCGAAAATAGAATTATAGTTTATCAATCCTTTTAAATATTTCAGAATTCTTCTTGCAGCTTTCATGTGTGACACCATTGGCTCACCCATGTATCTGCTCACTAATCCCACTGTGAAACCTATATCATATCAACTATTATACATATATCTCAGAGATCTAACTATTTGTTTAAACAAAGTTACATCGACTTTGTCTTCCTCACCATGCTTCTCCAACTTCAAATTTGGTTTGATATGCGAAGATGTTTGAGTAGAATCATCCATCCTGAATCTCTTGAGTATCTCTTTGACATACTTTCTTTAATGTAGCACAATTCTTTGCTTCGATATTTGAAATTCTATGCATAGGAAATAAGACAATTTTCCCATATCCGACATTTCAAATTCCCTCATCATCAGCTCTTTGAAATCCGACAAGTTCTCCAAGATATTTTTAGTTATCGACAAGTCATCGACATATAAGTAGATGATTGTTATATTTTGTGTCACAACCTGTACATAGACACCATACTCATATTTTCATTTTACGGATCCCAATTCAACTAAGTATGAGTCGATCTTCTTGTTTCATGCCCTATGTGCATGTTTGAGGCCATAGAGCGTTTTGTGCAATTTGTATACCTTACTCGCTTCCTTATGACTAGGAGCTTGTTTGGAATATACCTCTTCGTTTAAAGGATCATTTAGAAATTTTTACTTCACATCTAAGTGAAATGTCGACCAACCTTACTTTCATGCCAAGGCTACCACTAGTCGAATAGTCTCCAATATTGTTATTGGAGCAAATTTTCAGAGTAGTTGATTCCTACTCTCTGAAGAAATCCTTGAGCTACTAATCTTGCCTTATGTCTTGCTATCGACCCATCAGCATTGCATTTCAACTTGACCACCCACTTTATTTCAATAGTTTTTGTGTGTGCTGACAATTCGACTAACTCTCATGTGTTAATTATTTCGATTACATGTAACTCTTCGACCATAACAGACTTCCATTGTTTATTCTTAGCCTTGTTAAACTTGATTGGTCCAGCACCTACAAGCAAAGCAAAATAAACTAATTCTCCATCTGATATGACTTCATCATCACCAATCACTTCATAGTCTTGAAGCCTTGCTGGACGAGCTCTAGTTATTTTGAGATCATTGACTTGTGCTAGCCACACCGTCTTCGACTTCGACAGTGTCGTAAATGTCAGCAACTGCTTCAACTTTGACAGAAATATTTGTAATTTCTTCAACTTCGACTTCATCAATTTCTTCATCGAAGCCATAACTCATCAATGGTTTGTTAATTGCATCACCAGAATTCCAATCCCATGCAAAATTTTCACCAATCACCATATCTCGACTCAACACAATCTTCTCAGTAATTGGATTGAATAGCATATATGCACCAGTTTTATGATATTCTACCAGAATCATAGGTTCATTTTCGTCATCAAGCTTCCTTCTTCTTGCATAAAAAACATGCTTGTAACACATAGAGCCAAACACCTTCAGATGACTCACTAATGGTCGTTTGCCACTCCACACTTCTTCAGGAACCTTGTTTTTCAATTTCTTGGTAGGACACCTATTCAGAATATAAAATGCAGTCGAAACAGCTTCTCACCATAAAGATTTTGGCAAATTCTTCTGCTTCAGCATGCATCTCTCCATATCCAATATGGTCTTCTTTCTTCTTTCTGCAATTTCATTATGTTGAGGCGTGTAAGGAGAAGTTACCTCATTATCGACACTATGTTTTCCATAAAACTCTTCAAATATCTTAGATGTGTATTCGCCGCCTCCATCTGTTCGTAGAACTTTGATCTTCTTCTCACTCTGGTTTTCGACAAGTTTTTTAAATCTCTTAAAGATTTCAAATACTTCGTCCTTTCGCTTGATCACATAGATTCATAATTTTCGACAGTACTCATCGACAAACGAAACAAAATACTTGTTTCTAACAATGTTAAATTCTACGAATTGACCACATACATCTGAATGTACAACTTCGAGTATGCAGGAAAATCTCATTGACATAGTCGAAACGAAAGACTTTTTAGATTGCTTTCCGACTAGACAACATTCATAGAGTTTATCGAACATCTCAAGACTTGGTATATCAATTATCATATCTTGAGTAATTTATTGATTGAGTGATCGAAAGTTCAAGTGACCAAACCTCAAATGTCACAACCAGTTATTCTCGTGGTCGACAAATGTTTTCAGGATTTATACCTCTGTCAAACTAATCATAGTCTTAAACTTCTGATTCTTCGAAAACGGAGATTTTAAGATCAAATTGTTCTAGGTGTCAGGAAATTCTAAAGCTCTATCTTTCATGATGAATGGGAAATCTTTTTCGATCAGTTGTCCAAGACTTAGTAGATTGCACTTCATCCCAGGTACATAGAGTACATATTTAATCATAGCCTGCATTTTTTTCGTCTTTTTCCATCGACAACAGTTCATATTGTCGTTGCAAAGTTTGCAACTTGACAACCTTGACTTTCTCATCTCCTTCATAGTACTTGACAAGAATATCCCATGTCTCCTTCTTCGATTCAGCATGAGAATTTTTGTCGAAGTTTATCGAATCTACCATCGTTTGAATGCAATTCGCAACCTTACAATCCTTCTTCTTGGTTTCATTGTGAGCAGTTCTTTATGCATCGGTTGCATCCGCAGCCAACACAGGAACACCATTAATAACCACTTATAGGGTTTCGTGAAAGTCAAACAGAGATTACATCTGTTTTCTCCATCGAATATAATTATTGCCATCAAGAATTGGAAGAGAATTCGGAATGGCATTAGTAGCATTCATCTTTGCAGCGATTGATTATCCATAACCCACGATCTCGAAAACACGATCTCTGGCGTATGATTCTTAAAAGTTCGATCAAGAATCTAACTGGAGCTCTAGATCTCAGAAGCACAATCAACTTGAATTATATCTAATATTTCAATAATTCATAGATCCTCCTTGTGGCTTCATCTCGTGGATCTCCTCTTGACCTAAAATAAGTCTTCTAATTTCTCTCAACTTTACTTTGAGATGTTTTGCCGAGTTGCACAAACACTAATAATATTAAAGGTGTCTTGTTCCAATACAAATTTCTTCCCCTCATTGTCTATAATAATTCTCTTCCCATTTCTCGATCTAGCTTTGCGTGTGTGCCAAGGCTTAAATCCTGAGTTGCCTAATTTTTTCGCATTTTCACTCATCCACTTAATTTCTTGTATTTGATCTTTGTCATACAGATTCGACAAAAATTTAGAGAATTTCTTTTTTCACCCTATAGTGAAAAGAAAAATCCTACGTAATTCCTAAAATGTCCTAGAAATCGGAAATATATTTTTGGTGTGCACCATACACCACACAAACAGAACAAATGTGGTTCCACCATATTCAAAAGGCAAAAACAAAACCGAAATTATAGTTTTGGTTGCTTTCTGTGTAGCACAAAACCGAAAATATAAGTCCGGGTATAAATCGAAAATTAATTTTCGATTTCAGTCTACATTTTATCAAACCTTGGTGCATCTCGAAAATGTATTTTCCATTTTCATAGGCCTTTTTGTAACTTCGCGTAATGCGCTAAAAACTATAGAGTGAAAACAAAATCCTCAAATTTTACGGATCGTCGATTGCCTAACACAACTCTCTTTTTTTGTACGAACTTGACACGGGTTATATATAACAAAACTAACATAGATATGTTTCAACTCGACACGACAGTTCAGTAAAATGTTAACTTCAAATCTTTAAATATTTTGTCAGCATGATTCAATTCTGCATTACAGAGCATTTGAAAATTAAGGAACACAATAATATTTTGTCAGCAGGAAAATGGTATCTATCGAGTAGTGGAACATACAAAGCTGCATGGATGAAGGAAAAGATGAAATTATTTAAGTATATATTTTTCACCAATGGTGTGTTTTTCCGGTGGAATGGTAATAAGGCTTAGGATTATTGCGGATTATTGCGGATTATGCAAAGGTGAATGATGAGAATTGGCACTTAAGCAGGTGAATTTCCACAACACAACAATAAAAACACAGCATAACACATTGTTACTCATTTATAAATGATAAAATGTTTCTGAATGTACTAAATCATGACAAGCTCATAATAGTCTCTTTCTCTTTCTCATGATATGAAAGTCTTCTCTTGAAGATCTACTAGTTAGTACCACATGACTTATTTTCTTGAATAACATTCTATATGCAAATGAATTTCCACAACAAACAATACACACACACCGATCTACATTAAGTCCTAAAATACTACAGTTCCTGAACCTGATTATAGCCAAGAGATCCTTAGTTATTTCTGCAGTTGAAGTTCATTCTCTTAAGCTATAGTTAAAGAGATTGAGGAACTTGTTCAACTATCATCATCATCATCATCACAAACTCTCACTTCTACTCTACTATCTTTCTACTTCTACACCTGCATGTAGAATAGTATACAAACTCCTAAATGGAGCTAGAGTATTGAAGTTAATCTATGGACTCATAGCAAGTGTTCCGCAGGCCAATAATGTCATCAGAATCATGAAACTTCTTAGCAAAGGCCTCAGACCAGTTGAATGAGAGGAATCCGGAGAGGTTGCAGGACCACCAAAACCTATTGAAGGCGAGTTAGAACCAGAGCTGCAAAAGATGTGAATGAAGAACATGGTTAGTACTATTAGTGCTCCCTTGTTCCATATCAATTGATGTTATAAGCTTATTGCACACATAGGAAGAACTAATTAAGTAATAATAAACCAATATTCTATCTACAAATACAAATACTAGAAACACGACAACGTGACAATGAAAGCTTTCTCATCACAATTCTCACTTACCCGGATGAGCCAGCTCCTCCTCCTGAAGATGATGGAAAGATGCAAGTACCAGAACCTATTCACAATTCAAAAGAGAGTTCATTAGAACAGTTGAAAAAACTATGTGAAGCATATAATATGAAAAATTAGGATATGAAACTAGTAAGATCTTACTAGGATTGGTGGTAACAATGGTAGCAACCCCTCCAAAGTCACAGCTAGTTGGAGCAGGATTCTTTACGTAGTAGCTATTGAAAGCAAAAGAAGCATGATTTTGAAGTGAATTTGGGTTATAACAAATTCCACCTTGTTGTATTTGTGAACAATCAGCACCATTAGTTCCACAAGCATAATCCAATGCAGTTTGAAGTGTAGTTTGCGAAACTCCAGGTTTAGCCACGCACCAGCTACCACCACCACCTCCTTGAGAAGATGAAGATGAAGATGGAGGAGGATTGATGTTTGAAGAAGGAGGAGAATTTGTAACAGGAACAGGAACAGTTCCTGATAATGGTGAAGGTGGTGGATAAGAACTCACAGGAACAGTTCCGGGAACTGTTATAGGAGATGTAACAGGATTTGTAACAGGAACTGGTGAGTTTGCTGGATTTGTTGGTGGTGCTGTTGAAACTGGTGGTGTGGTGGAAGGGACAAGATTTGTAGCACCTGGATTTGTTGAAGGAACAGTGATGATTGTTGGTGAAGTTGATGCTGGATTTGTGTCTTGTAGAGTTCTCCTAGTTGCAAAAAACTGAATCTGAGAATTTGAGATCTTGCTTTTTTGAATGAATTTTGTTGTGGAAAAAGATGATAATGCATTGTTTCCTGCAAAGAGAGTGAGAAAAGAGAAGAACAAGAGGCAAAATGAAGCTAGATTTGTCATGGTGAAGTAGTGTTTTTCTGGAATTTAGAAGTGAGAAATGAAAGAATGAAAAGGATGTTTTATTATGTTGTAATGAGAAGAAAAAGATGTTACTTTGTTACTAAGGAAATGTTCTGGTCACAAAGAAGCAAATTCAAAACGGCTTTATGTTATAGCTTTTTTCTTTCTACTACTTTGTGAAGCTTTAATACTCCTTTATTAATACTAGTACTACTACACGAAGTGCATTATGAGTTGACACAAATAAATCATGTGCATTGAATTTAACAGATGTTGGTTTATGAGGGACTGGGACACACATGCTGTTGTTTATTTTTCTGTTGATGATGTTTGGAATATGTTTAGAGGAGGCACAGTAAACGATGTTTATAGCCGTTGGATTCCCTGACCGACTCAGTCATGAATGATGACTGGTTGATGTACCAGACGCATGATCTAGTGCCACTTGTTGAATTAAGACAAAAGTAGTATTATAAACGTTAGGATTGTGAATATTTTTAATTAATATGTAAATTCAGAATTACTCGAAAAAATTTAAATAGATTTTATAGGGCGGTGATTATTAGAAGAAAAAGTATTAACAAAATTGGAGCAAATTTAGTTTAGCGATGAGACAATAATAATCAGAGCATGTACATTGGTGTCGGCTTAAGTATCTATTAAGGATTCGATCAAAAAGCATATAGTAACTATTCAGATTGTAAAGCTTAGTTGACGGTGTTAAAGTTTTATATAGAAGCAAAAAGCCATTACTATCACTAGTATGTAATAGTAGAACTTGTAAAAATATAAAGTAATGTACCGACATTTAACTAATATTGCAAAATTATTTAAAACTAAAGGTGTCTTTTCTTTTTTAACATGATTAAAAAAATCTCAATAAAAAATGCATATTGAACGGGACAACCCACGTGGAATATTCTATTAGGTGTCTAGCCGAAAGCAAAGCAAGACAGAGCAAGTTATGGGGCCAATGAATCTTAAAAACCACAACAACACTGTCCCTCAATTGTTTTCCTCTTGAGTTAAGCAACTGAAATTATAGGAATGTATCATTAGGAAAGCTTAAATAGTTCCATTAAATTATGTTGATCCTACAAAAGTTTAGTAGAGAACCCATATAAATTTACAGGAACCTAACAAGTCAACTAACTCCTACCCTAACTAACAAGTAAATAGCAGTGGTTTATCTTTGTTAAGCCATTGGATTTGACTCAACAAACAACTCAGTGAAGAAAGGATCAAAAACTGCTTCCTTGGCTGAATTATACTTGTCCAGACGTTTCTTCAACGACCGTAGATCTCTCTCGTCCTTTGAACTACGTTCCTGCATATGTAATAACACTTGTTCATTATACACTGCCTAGAGTGAACTCATAACATAAATTTTACTGTTAAACGGTTATAAAACTGATTTTCTCCTCATCAACTATTATATCAGTGAACATGTATTGCAAAAATTTTATGCATGGCAATTCCACAACAGTCGTCAATATCCATATGAAAAATAAGCAAAAACTAGAAAGTGGTTCTCTAAAAATAGAGACTAGACTTACAAATGTTTTCTTCGTCAGTAGTATATCTACCAAGTAGACCAACCATAACACATTTGTTTTAGGAGAACTGCAAATTTGATAAAGGAACAGGTTTAGTTTCCAAGAAATACAAAAAACATTAATGAATATTGCAACTTATAAACCAGGACTAATGTCAAGAGTGCCCTAAATCTTATAATATCAAAGCAAACTATCATGTTGGCATCGAATAATTCTTGAATCGGTTGAATGGCGTGCTAAAATTTCCATGACGGCAGAATGCTAAAAGTGGGGACTTATCTTCCACAAGGAAGACTTGACTTGAGAAGAATCTCATATCTACAAGACTACTGCATACATCGCATTGGTATATTTCTGCCCACAGTAGTACAACAGAGGTATTTTACACTTAATCACTCTTTCGACTAAAATGGACAATCCACGCGCTCACACAAAATGTGACAACTATGACCAAGCATTCATGTTATCATTTTCCAAGTAAGGTGAAAATTGGCTATAGTAAATGCATATATGAGAATCTTACCTTCCTTCCCACCAATCCTCAGTCACTTCCTTCATCTTCCGATATGTTTCGGACTGCGTGTGAATGTGATAGTTAGATCCATTAATTTAATCAGACAGAACACTTACGACCCGAAATAAGCATTTCTTACCTGTTTGTCTCCTTTTGGCCCTTTAAATAGGTCGGGATCGGCGGAAAGATCTAAGTACAGTATGCTGTCGCCTGTGTAAATAGGACAACAATCAATCATAGTATATGAGAAATTTAAGATACAGTAGCATATTTAAGGCAAGAATTCAAGCGCTCACCAGTGTTCATTCTGGATAGTGTAAAGTCAATAATAGATATTATCAATCCATAGGTTTCGACTACTAAGTTTTTTCCATCGAGAGTGAACTGCAACGTTGCTGAATCATCACTTCGGCTGACAAGTATATTTCCCCTAAATAATTCGATATTTGTAAATTAGTAATCTTACAAATATAATGATTGCATTTATAATGTCACTGTATGAATACCCACCAGTGAAGATCTCGATGTTCGAATTCAAAGGCAGACTCGGCCACAGCAAGCCCAGCTGCAACCTGTATTTTATGATGGAAATAAAAAATTAACAATCCCTCATTAAGCTACAAGCATTCAGCAAGTGCAATAATCCCTCATTAAGCTGCAAGCATTAAGCATGTGCATTGATAACATGTAAAACATACCTGAACCAGTAAAGTCCTTGCCTCGTCGAAATTAAGGAGCACAAAACCTTCAAGATCCTTGCCGCCGTGTTGTTGCACGAAGACCATGTAACACTAAATGTGACCACAAGTTAGTGTAATGAAATTATGCACATTCAACTTAAAACAGCAAACATAGTGAAGTGGGAACCAAAGAGTAGATCCACATTCTATTCTTCCAAATACATTTTTTCACGTAACACTTGGGAGTATCTTAAAAACTTGTTCCCGTCATTTATGTTCACAACAATATATTACTGCAAGTGAAATTTAAATTAGAAATACATGCAAGTCCATAACAATGCGGAAAAACAGGAAACCTGTTGCTCTGGGAACTCATTTGGGTGATCATTCTCTGAATTATGCTTGTGATCCCACTCTTCCCATGCTCGAACCAGAACCTCGTCATATAGACCTTGGCATACTCTAAATCTGTCACCAACACGAACCATTGATAGGTGAGAGACTACGGTGCTTATGGGAAAAATTAGTAGAAATTTGTGCACAAGGCACAGAGCAAAACAATTTTTAAGCACTGCGTGATGGAACAGAATGTTCCAGTCATCACATTTCTAGAATCACCCACGCCGCAATGACAAAAACACAAGCCCAAAGGTGGAAGAGTAAAAACTATGGTTAGTGAAAAAATTGAATAAAATTTAGAAACTATTTAAGTCGGATACTCACTCTTTGGATTCTATGAATGTTCTGCATAGATTATTACTAGAAACACCATCACTTCCTCTCAATTGATTCAGAGTTTTGGAAAGAAGCACCTCCTCCAACAATTCTTCTGATTTCTGTAATTACATAACGTCACATAGCTCATTAACATAACAATACTATTAGTTTATCCGTGACCGCAACATCCAACCACTTCAAGTAAATTTAACAAAGAAATGATCATGCTTCATCAAATATTCTGAATGAAGTAGGATGAGCATAGTTTTATTCGAAAAACTGCTCTTGGGGACAAAAACATTATAATATAAATGCTACCGTTACCTTTTGAACTTCTCCATTCACTCTAAGATCCCCATCAAAAGGAACTATTTTGCATACACAATTCCCAACCTTGAAAGCTTCTCCATATGTTCCTTCGCCAACTTTCACAACTGTTTCAGAACCACTGGAAAAAGAAAAATGGTATTCCCAATACAAAATGAGGGCATAGAATAATGTGAACAAAAAAATCCTTTTGGATTGAAGTAAAAATGGCATTGTAGCATTGTTAATTACAATTAAGGCACTTCCCAATTGAAAATTACTGAAGTAGATCTACTAGTACACTAAATTTGGGGAGCTTTACATGATTTCAATGAGAATGTAATTTCAAATTAACAGGGGCAGTAATGCATGGGAACTAAGTGTGTCATCCTTCATGCAGGAAAAATAAATAAATAAATAAAACAAATTAAGAATTATAACACAGTCCCTGTGATCTTGAGGATGAAATTTATTTGCAATTTAACGCCAAATGCGACATCATAAAACTGTAATGGATATAAAGGAAAAATATATGCAACTCATCAGTTAATTGAACATCAGATTAACATTCTAATGTACAGCACCCTATTGTACATAGTGTACCAACTTAGTGTGTGGCATATGAAGTAAAAACAATGGCCCTCGAAGTTACTAGGAAACGAGAAACATACCTATACCTAGAGAACAAATCTTGTAACATGGAAGGTGCGGACTGCCCACAAATTTCTAATAGAACAGAAAACGGATTATTTTGGTCATCATATATTGAGGATGTTGTTGATGTCAGAGAAAGTTTCTTTACACCAGCTTCTATATCTTCACAACCTTCACTCTCAATTAGACTCACATTGTTTAAACTTCTTTTACTTTCTCCAGATTTGAAGTTACTCAATTGTGAATTGCTTAGCCCACTTTGATCCAACGATCTCAATCTAACTTCTAAATTCATTGTTGGGGTATCAAGGATTTTGGATAGTGTGCTTGAGGGACGACATCTGGGGTTTAATCTTCTGGAGTGTAACCATCTTTCCAATCTAGAGCATAGTGATGGTAATTGGACCTCTTCCGTATTATTGCCTACAATCCATGTACCAACTTTCTTCGGAGAGGGGCTCTCCTCCATCAACTCAAAAGCATCAACCTCTTGAAAGTATAATCTTTCCTTGTCAAAGTTAGGAGATTTAACATCCTTACCCTATACATACCAAATAAACAAGTAACAACAAA